TCAAGGAGTTGGTAATTTGGGGGTGGTATTACACCCATGTATTTTATTTTCAAGTTTGAAGTTTTCCTAGAAGCATGTTTTCTGACTGATAATATGAAGGGGGGAACATTTGCAACGTGGAAAAATTTTTAGCTTTGCTTCCCAACTAAAATATGCTTCACATACATTCATTCTGCTTCAAATTTAACAAGTCAGATGACTTGTTCAAAAACTGATAAAATTCTTTAAGTGCTATAAGTACTTGAAGAAATATAAACTGAAAGACAATATTTTGATTGCAGTCAACGTGCTAAATTTTAGTAATTCTAAAATTATTCATTATTTTAAATGGACTGCAAATTTTAGAGTTGTTTGGTTGAAAGCATTTCCCCAGAGTCACTGTTGGAAACAATCTATTCCCATGTTTTAGATTAAATGACTCCTTGAAGCCCTATGAGGAAAGAAAGCCAGAACATGAATGAATGTGTTAGGCAAATGAGGAATAAAATCACGGCAGAAGCCACATAAAAACAGCTTTCCTTATGTAGTAGGTATACCTAACTCTACAACTAAATATGTTTGAAGTATTAAATGTAAAACTTCAGTTATAGGTTATCCGTCTAGGCTCCCAGAAGATGTCAGGCTTCTGGAATGGCTCCAAACACAGATGCTTCCCCCAAACATTATTTGGCAGGCAAAGAAGTAGCCACTGAACAAACAGCAACAACAAATTCTGCTGAGAAGAGCCAAGATTACATCTATTACTCTGTGAAAAGTTTAGGGAACTTTACCTAGAAGGGAAAGAAAGGTGTGCTCTAATTAGTTGGCAAGGTTTATAAAAGGCCTGGCTTTTCCTGAGTATAAAAGTAACAGAATATCTAAAGGAAAAGAAATTAAGGAAAAGTGGCAGATGGTTTAATTAGCCTTTTGGAAATTAGAACAATAAAGGAGGTGGCAAGCATTGGCCACTGACAACCAAGAAGATGAATGCCAATTTATACAGGATAGAGAACATCTGCACCATCCGATGGGGTGAATAGTCACCTCCTTTACATCTCTTTATGGCAGAAGCCTCTTTAAAAAAGTTGAGAGTAGAGGGGCACATGAGGTAGATAAGGAAGTATGGAGCAGGTGTCTTTTTGCTCAGCATTCTTTGAAGATACCAGTCTGCTGCTGCCCAGAAGACATATTAATCAATACAGTTCAACAGTTTGGAGAGATGTTCATTTTATTTACGAGCTAAGCACTGTTCTGTGACTTATGGGATAGTGAATCACAAACACAATAGGATGTCTATCAAAGAAATCAACCCGCAATAAAGATTATAATCTTCCTCTTGTGAAAGCAAAAGAATGAAGCATAACAAGATTATTATTAACCTTATAAGAAAACGGACTTTGGGAGATCTGAAAAGGGCAAGCACAGGAAAATGTTAGTGGTTCAGTGTAATACATGTACAACTAAAATTTATCATGTTAAGTGTTCATTATATACACCGAACTGTAGTAAACACTAGGGATAAAAAGACAAAAACATAACAGTCCAAATCTACAAGTAACTTATTTTCTATTGGGGAGATCCAAGAACAAAGGAAAATAAAATCCAAGATGCCTTTTCTTTCTCAAATTAACAACTTGAAGGGAATCAAGAAAGGCTTTATTCTTAACATTGAACACTCCTGAAAGGCAGAGGTGAAAAAGGAGGGCATTCTAGGAATGGGGGGAGCATGCTTAAATACAGAGAGGTGAGGAGAATGAATGCTGAATTCTGTGACTAGCTACTAGGCACAGTTAGACTAGAATATAAAGTACATTAAGGGGAGAAACGTGAGGTAAGGCTGATATAAAAGAAAGATCAAGTAAGCAGATGGAAAGAGCACAAGGGAAAAAAAATCAAGAACTGACAATTTTTTAGAGATATCAATAAAATGTTTAAACAAACAACACACTAGAGAGGACTATAAATAGCACAGAAATTTAAATACAGAGGTGGGACCAGCATACACCTGAGTACCAGTCCTCTATTTCTGCTGAGCACATTACTGAATGTCACTTAACTACTCTATATTAAAGCAAGATTGTCAACGTCAAAACGTTAGGAAATTCTGGCCCTTCACAAATCTTAAATGCCAGCAATTATTTTTAACTATAGTTACTGAGGTAAGCAAGCCATAGAATTAGTAATCCCTAAATCCATTACTTTTGGAATATATTTGGATATATTTTATCAACAATTTATTTTCAAGATTGGGTGACAAAGAGTCTGTTAATTTTGAAGTGCTATAAAAATGAGTTATTAATAGACTGAAATATCTAATTCTAAATGTATGTTGGAGAAAGTTTAGAAGCGTGCAAAGTTGCAAAAGAAAGCTAGATATTTACTATGGGTGATTCACAACAAATGAGATGAGTATTTCTGGCTTATATTTTTATGGCCAAATTCTATCTCCCGTGAAGCTCTATCCTGATGCCCCATCACAATACGAAAGTGACACTAGCCTTTCAAAGGTGAAGCACAAAATCTAGCATGTTGAAAAGATCTGGAAAAGACTTGCTGGAGAAAACCCATCAAATAATGAATAATTTTTAACACTGTGGATGGCACTAATTAATTTTTTAAAATCCATTTCTACAAGAAATAAAACGAAAGGAAAAAGCACTGGACAACTATAATGAAAAATTTGGCCCTGAAGAAGAGTTGGGAACGTACCTTTCTGTGCAGAGATAGGAGACTGTGGGTAGATACATATATGGGTATGGGTATGCATACTCTCAGAAACAATATATTGGGTAATTTTGCTTAACTGCCTTTCCAACCCCTCTATTTTTTTTTTGTTACAAGAGATGTCTCGTGGGCAGGGTAAGGAAGGGATATTTTCAGAAATGAAGATGATATAAAAATAAGCTATAAATTGTTTAAAGAAAAAATTAGCTAAAACCCCAAGAAAATTATTTTTTAAAAAATCATAGGATCAGTATGAAATAAGCTCTGAAGGCACTTTTAGTTCTCTAAATCTGGCTCCCAATGACCCTTTTCCAGCCTTATTTCATCCTCTTCCCAGCTACACACCCTACAGGAACTGCTTCCCAAATTCAACCACCAGTCCCCTGACTTAGCCAATTTACTCAAACTTTCCCACACCTGTAATGCACTTCCCTCATCATCACCTTTCAAAATCTCGGTTACCTTCAGGAATGCTCAGATAACATCTTCTGAGGATTTCTCATGCCCCCACAATCTCTTTCGTATTTATATTTGTATACATTTCCACCCTGCCCCCAACAAAGCAAGCTCTTTGAAGGCAGGAACTGTTTTCTTTTTTGCCTTCAAATGACTCCTTAAGGTTTAGCACAGTGCCCTGAAAACATTAGGAGCTTAATAAAGGTTTTTTGGATCATTACAGTATTAGTAACCTTTCTTAGACATCAAAAACACCCAGGATTGAGGGATTTAACAAGAGAAAGAGAATGCATAGGAGAAAACGGAATTTCCTATTAATTTAGGATTAAATGTTTCAATGGCCCAAATGCTACATATCAAGTAATTTTCTTATACCAAAGTCTTGTTAAATAATTATTTAGATACTCTGAGGGACATTTGCTATTAGAAGAACATAACACCTGAAAGGGTAGGAAATGCTTAAAAGTATTTTTCTTACTTAAAGATGACTAAAAACCAGAACTTCCTCCTTCCAGGAAAAAAAAAAAGTCTTTATCCAAATCAAACTCAATCAACTGTGAGAGGCAAAACAGCACATCATCAAAAAAAGGAGTAACTATACCTCATTCGTGAACAAAAACCAACTTTTTCACTCCTATGGTGTTAACAGGTGCCCAAAATCTTATTAGCACAAGTCAAAGCAAGGAAAGAATCTGGCTGGGCTAGACTTAAGCCCAGCATGAAGGAGAATTCAATACCTGAGGAAAAAGAAATGAGTAAAAAACAAGCAAACCAATCAAAAACCGGTCCCTCCCGGGGACTGCCCTTTGCCCGGTTGGCCAGGGGAGAGTTTCCCAGGATGGTCGGGTGGCTCGCAGGGCCGCCGCGGAGATCCCAGGCACGAAGGCGGGGGAGGCACCTGCAGTGAGGAAGGAGCTCAGCTTCCCGAGCCTCCGTGCATCTTCAGGCCGGGGAAGCCAGGGAGGGGACCAAACCCAAGGAGGAGGGGGGGCTCCTAGGGCAAAAACCGGGAACCGCGGTGGGGACTCAAAGCTCAACACCCGGGGAAGGGGGCCTCACTAAGCAACACCCGGGGAAAGGGGGTCAAAGGGGGGATCAACAATCCGAGCGGGACGCATTGATCAACAACCCCAGGGGGGCGCAACCACCCCGCTCGTAGCAGGGGGTCTGGCGTTGAAGAATGGGGGTATACCTAGGAAGAACGCCCCTCTCCCTCTTCCTTCTTCCCCCAATGACCCCAGGTCAGGGAAGCCTTAATTCATCCCCCTCCTCCCCGAGTCCCAGTTTGGGGATAAGAGAAGGATAAGGCTGAAAGGGGCCAGGCGCCGGCTGGGGGTCGCCGCTTCCCCGGCGGCCTGAGTCGGCCGGCCGCCTCCCCATCCCTTCGGGCGAGCTCGGGCCTCGCCCCCGCCCCCGGGTGCTGCCCCAGGCGCCCTTCACCCCAGGCCGAGGGCAAGGCTGCGGGGCCTGAGGGGAGGCGGGTCCCTCCCGGCCAGCTCGCCCAGACTCGGCCCAGTCGCTCCTCGAACTCACCGCGTTCCCCTCCGCGGCTTCCCCCCGACTCCGTCCTCCTCCTCTTCCTCGGCTAGCTGGCCGCGGCGGCGGCTCCTCGGGGCCAGCCGCGCTGGGCGTTGGGTCTCTGGCTCCTCCGACAACTGGGAGGGGAAGGGGGCGGGAGCGCGGGCGCGGGGGAGACGGGAGAGCGCGCGGAGCCCGGCGGCGGCGCGAGACGGTCCGAAGTCGGGAGGGAGGGGGAGGGGCGCCCGCCGCTGGGTGGGGGGCGGGAGCGGTGGCGGGGGGGGTGCGCCTCTCGGCCCTGCACGGCACGCGCACTCACTCACCCCAGCTTGCTCTGCGGACGCCGCGGCGTTTTTAGCAGGGCCGCGGAGGGGTGAAGGGGGTGGTGTATAACGGGTCCCGGGCGCCGTGAGCAGGCTGAGCTGTGGAGCCGGGGGGTCGGGGGGGGCGGCGAAAGCGGGGAGGGGGCACAGAAAAGCCCTATGTGGGTCGAGGTGAGCGAGATTTCACGTGGCTGAGAGGGAGAGAACGGCCAGTTCACCGGTGGCAGAGCAGCCCCTCCCCTGGGTCTATGCTGGATGGACCTGGGGGCTGGCGGGAGGGGGGAGTAAGGGCGGAGCAGAGGGGAGGGGCTTCGAGCGCCCCAGCGGTCCGTTTCGGGGTTTGTTTATTTTCTCGGTTGGTTGCGGCGGTGGCGCGTGGGCAGAGGTTCTCAAGTGACGTGAGCGGCTGGAGTTGGGGGAGAAAACCAGAACCACCTGCTGGAGAAGGGGAGCTACGGGGGCCGGGCAGGGTCGAAATAGCTCGCAGAGAGTGTGTCGGCGCTGACTTCGGGGTGGTGGGGAAGCGAGTCCCCCAGAGGGGGGGCCGCAGCGGGCGAAGCACAAAAGATTAAGTCTCCCCGAGGCCAATGAGCGTTTGGTGCTGGTGTCTTTGAGCAGAGCTAGGCTTGCATTTGTATTAACTCGGGAGCTAACCAGTGTTTGCCTGGTGACTTGTGAAATAGTCTGCCTGCTGTCTAGGGAATGAGTCTAGGGGTCCGGTGTAGCAGGGGATTGTGAACCCTAGAAACTCTGCCTAGGGGTCTGGCTGCCGAGCATCTTTGAAAGATCTAGTTAGCGTTGGATTATTAAACAAGTCGCGATTTAAATGTGGGCAGTTGCTACCAATTATCCCCGGTGTCATGCGAGCTCTGGAAAAAAAAGTTTTTCATCCGTATTACCAAGCTGTAAATTGAATGTTACTCAGGCGGCCTGAAGCTCCTTAAAATGAGCCTTCAGATTTGGCCTCTTGGTGGTGAAGTGAATAGATCGCTGGGTTCAAGATTTGGCCTCAGACACTAGCTGTGTAATGCGGGGCAAGTCACTTAACCCCTGTCAGCCTCCGTTTCCTCAACTGTGAAATGGAAATAATAACAGCGCCTGCCTTGCAGGGTTATTGTAAGGATCAACCGAGATGTTTGTTTAAAAAAAAAAAAGGATCAGCTTAGCACAAGTGCCTTGCCCTCAAGGAACTCATATGCTATCATGGAAGACAGCATACATTTTAAAGTATATTCAAAATAAAATCAGTGTCATGTGTGGAGGGAAGGTCACTAGCAGCAGTTGGGAAAATCAGAAAAGGCTTCATGGAGAAAGTGGCATTTTAGCCAAATTTTGAGAGAAATGAGAAACTACGTTCGGGGCAAGGACGACAGCCAGTGCAAAGTCACAAATATGGGCCATGGAGTTTTGTGTGTGAGAAACAGCGAGAAAGCCAGGTTGACTGGACCACAAAGTAGGAGAAAAGGAGAAATGTAGAATGAGGCTGGAAACGTAGGTTGGAGCCAGGTTGTGAAGGCCTTTAAATACCAGAGGAGTCTATATCTGAACTTAGAGGTAATAAGGAGCCATTGTATATTGAGTAGGGAGTGATATGGACAGACATGCTTTTTAGGTTAACTCTCTTTGGCAACCGTGTGGAAGGTGAATTGGAGAGAGGAGTGACCAGTTAGGATGCTGTTGCAGTAGTCCAGAAGAGAGTTAAGGGGCACTTGTGGTGTCTGGAGAAAGCAGACAGATGGGAGACACTTAGCTACTGATTGAATACATGGGGTAAAGGAAATGATTAGCTAAGTAGGGACTTTTGAAGTTGCAAACCCGGGTGACTGGAATGATAGTTACGCTCTCCACAGAAATAGGGAAGTTTGAAAAAGGGGTGGGTTTAGGGGAAAATATAATGGATTTGGTATTGGACGTTCAAGTTTGGACATACTGCACTTGTGCTGCCTGCAGGACATGCAGTTGGAAATGGCCAGTACACAATTGGTAGTACAGGACTAGTGCTCAGGAAAGAAAGGTCAGATAAAAAGATCCTGGAGTTATCTGTATAAATATGATCATTAAACCCATTTTCTACAACTCTGCCAAAGTAATTTTGCTAATATGTCTGACCACATTCCTCTGCCCAAACAGTGGCTCTCCATTACTTGCTGGCTAAAAATGCTAATTCCTTAGGCTGGCATTCAAGGCCTTCCATAGTCTGTCATTTCTAATCTTTCCAGCCTCATTTCACACTACTCCCCTTCAGCTAAATTGGGCTTGCTTGCAGGATTATTGTGAGGATCAAATGAAACAATATATGTAAAAATGCTTTGCAAACCTTAATATGCTGTATAGAAACTAGTTATCATTGTTATCATTACTTTTATCCTGCCTTTTTTCCCCCTTCTCTCACATGCCAACAAACTTCTACAAATTTTCAGATTGAAATTCTTCCCATTCCTCCAAGGCCTACTTTCCCATGTTACTGATTTTTCTTGACTAACCATACTTCCTGTCAAAATTTTCCTGGCTACTGCCCTTTCCTGTGATTTTAAGGGATCAGAAATAATCTGATCAGTAAATTTGAATTTAGGTGCTAATGAGAATAATGGCTTATTGTGTTATCCTTCCCAGATAATAAAAGGATTTTAACTGGGGCTTTTGTTGTTTCAAATATCTGAGGCAGAAATTTCTGGAGCCTCTTTTGAGCCTCATTGGTACAGGCAGCTAGCTACCATCTCTCCATATACTATTATGTGATGGGGAAAAAAATGCAAACATGTAAGTAAAATATGACAAAAGTATGTTAGAAGAGGCAGACTTCCTCATCCTTTGGTTTGAGACTCATTTATGAACTTCGTATTCTCCTTATTCCACTGCCACCACCTAGACAGTAGAAGTACTAACAATTTTAAGTCTGCTATATCAAATATAAATGATTAAAAACCTAAGCTGGAGATCAAATAGCAGTAAATATGGATTGATCAAAAATAATAGTTATAAAATGGAAAACAAGTAAGACTGCCAGAAGGCTAGAAAGTGGCATAGAAATATAAATTATTCTAATCTGATTCTTACATAATTTTGTAAATAGTTTCCTCATCTAGATCACTAATAGCACCTGCCTACCTACCACTATTATTCTGAGGATCAAAGGAGATAATATTTGTAAAGCACTTAGCACAATGCCTGGCACATAGTAGGTGCTATATAAATATTAGCTATCTTATTATTATTATTATTGAACATAAATTTTGGGAACCAATTAAAAGAGAGAGATGAAGCATTAAAGTTTTACTTCCATGATTTTTAGGAAGCCATAAGCTAATAACAATCTGTATTAAACATGTAAGTTTTAAGAAACAGACCATTGTTGTAAGCAGTGATTATTCTTTTATTACTGTTTTTTGGGTTTGGGGGGTTTTTTTGGCGCACAATACTGCAAATTTACTATGCACAACTTGCTGTTCCTTTCAAATATACCCACACAAAATTACCATGTAAATTTCCTTTTTTTCCTTTTTTTCTCCTTCCCCCCAAAGATGGCTACCATTAAACACAAATAGGTATATATGTGTAAACTTATTCTATAGATACTATTATTTATCAGTTCTTTCTCTAGATGCAGATAGCATTCTTCATATGTCCTTTATATTTATTTCAAGTATTTATAATAGTCAAAATAACTTACACGTTCAAAATTGTTCTTAAAACAATGTTGTTTAATACAATATTCTCTTGGTTCTACTCATTTAGCTGTTCATTATTTCGTGCAAGTCTTCCCATGTTTTTCTAAGATCTTTGAGCTCATCATTTCTTTTAGCACAGTAGTATTCCATCACATATACCACAACTTGTTCAGCCATTCCTCAATCGATGGGTATCCCTGCAATTTCCGGTTCTTTGTCACCACAAAGAGAGCTGCTATAAACATTTTAGAATGTATAGGTTCTTTTTCTTTTTCCCTAATCATCTTTGGAAACAGATCTAGTAATGTTATTGCTGGGTCAAAGTGTGTACATAGTTTTATAATCTTTGAGCATAATTCCAGATTGTTCTCCAAAATGGTTGATCAGTTTACAATTCCACCAAAAATGAATTAGTGTCCCAATTTTTCCACATTCTCCTCCAACATTTGCTGCTTTCCCCTTCAATCATTTTAGCCAGTCTTCTAGGTGTAAAATGATATCTCAAGGTTGTTTCAGTTTGTATTTCTCTAATCAGTAATGATTTAGAGCATTTTCTCCCATATGACTATAAATTGTTTTGATTTCCTTGCCTGTTCACTTCCTTTGACCATTTACCAATTAGGGGACGACTTGTACTCTTATAGATTTGACAAAGTTCTTTATATATTTTAGATATGAGATCTTTAATAAAGTGTCTATAAAATATTTTCCCCAATTTTCTGCTTTCATTCTGATATTGGCTACATTTGTTTTATTTGTACAAAACCTTTTTAATTTAATGTAATTGAAATTATCCATTTTATACCTAACTTTGCTCTCTATAGCATTTATTCACCTATCCATAAGTCTGATAAGTAATATGTTCCATGTTCTTCTAATTTTCTTGTAATATCTCTTTATATTTAGGTCACATATCCATTTTTATCTTATCTTGGTAAATGATTTAAGATATTAGTCTATGCCCAGTTTCTGCCATACTGCTTTCCAGTTTCCCAACAGTTTTTTTTACCAAATAATGAATTTAATCTCCAAAGTCTTTTTATATTCTCATCCCTTAAGTCTTTAGTGTTTTTAAAATATTTTTAATTCCAGAAAATTTGATGTGTGCCCTACCCATGTCAAAAAGTTTTTTAGAGGTCTAATCCAAACCCCTCATTTTATTTTTAAAAAAATTTTCTTACACTACAGTAATTTCCAGATATATTCCAGGGATCCATCACTTTAAAAAAAGAAGGCTTTTTAAAAGAAGTATAAGAAAAGCAGTTCATCAAAACCAACTAATACTTCAGATATATCTGACAGGATGTGCAGTATTCTACACCCTTAATTTTGCAAATGAAGGAACTTTAGTAAATTTTAAAAGTACAATGCAGCTTCAAATTTTCTATTCTTTTTGTTCTAGATGCATCACTGACCACTGCTAAAATATTAATATTTATAATGCTTACCTACCATTCCAAATTCTTGCCTCTTCTCAGTAGGCACACACAGTATTTTTATACACATATTATTTATCTGGACTATAAAGAATTCATTTTTGAATTACGAATTTAATTGGGGAGGGGCATGGAGTCAGGGTCTTCCTCTCTCACCCAGGCTGGAAGACTGCTGTTGCCACTAGAGATCAGTGGAAAGCTTTCACCTTCTTGTCGGACCTGGACTGGTGCGCTCCCTTTTTACAAAGGTCCCCAT